GGAGGCCCGCGGAAAAGCTGTCATTTCCGTAATCGCCGCGCAGGAAAGCGCGGGGTTACGCGCGGGGGTTCGGTAACGGTTCGTGAGAGGGTGTGGGCCGGGCTCGTGGAGGACCAGAGTGTGTGAATAGCAGTGTCGCCGAAATAGCGGTATTTATAATGCTCTGTGGGGCTGTGGTGCTCCATAAATGCGATACTGGTAAAATATGTATTAAGGGACTGGTAAATAGTGCTTCATATTAAGTTGAAGGGTGCTTTATTATTTTTAATGCTAATATTTTTACTTTATTATTTATTTTAATAGTTCAGGAACCAGGATGTCGCAGAAAAATTTTAGTCCTGAAGTGCTTGATGAAGGAAATACTCCTTCCACCTCCTCCAAGCTCTGCAGGAATTGGAGTGCTTCCCCCTCCTGTTTTCCCCTGCATGCCTAACTAGATGGCCACTAATTATCAGGTACTGGATTTCCTTCAAGGTGATGGAAGAGGCTATAAAATCCCGTAGGAAGTGTCATGTTCACATATGGGGTAACCGGATCGGTCACCGGCCATCTGCTGCCAGGAGTCTTGACACAGACATTCCAGTAGTTGGACATGAGTTTGGCAGTTGCTGAAAAATGGAATTTGATTTTTTTTTTGGCACCGATGCATTACAAGTAGTTTGTCTCAAAGAGAATTAAAACCACAGTGCTATAGGCAGAAGGACAAAATCCTGATTATTCCACCAAGCGTTTTGGTCATGACCTTTCAGTAATGGAAGAGAAGGGTTATTATTTGAAAATGCAGGTTCAACTGCCTCTTAGATCCCTGTTATTAATTCTGCCTACCATATGATAAATGAGATTTGTATGAAATCAAAGGTTGTAAGAAATAAAGGCTTTTAACCAAAAAGATTACATTTAAAAAAAAAAAAAAAGACAAAAGAAAGCCAAGGCTTTACATAAGACCAATGCACTCTGGGCTACAGAAGGAGAGAGGCTCTAGCCAAAAAGAAGGACAGACAAAATTGGCTGAAAACAATGGTTACCCAATGAGCAAGACTAAGTTTACAGAAGATTGCACAGGATCTTTAACATTTTTCGGAGCAGGAGGTCTGATAGACAAACTAAGTCAAAAAAATGCAATATGTAATTGCTATCAGAATGACACAATCTTGTCAGCTTTAGCATCAAGACCCGATACTTACACAGCCCAACTTCTGGATGTTCACTCATGTCACATTTTTCATTCAAAATTAGGTCATATCTTTTTTGGAAATGCTTTTGATCCTTGGAAAGCCTTTAATACCCTGTGAACTTTATACATAATGTAGCAAAAATATCAATATTTTCACCTTTTTTGCAAAAAAAAAAAAAAACCTTGCAGTTTTAGTCAAAGCAAATAAAATGATGGTTTTTATTAGAAAGGCCCTTGTGAATAATGCTGGAACAAACAATAGCATGTTTGTCACACGCATACAATGTAACACAGAAAATTCTGTTCCCCAGAGTTACACTCATTCTAACATTGAAACTTGATAGCTTTTTTTTTTTTTTAAATGCTCATTATAATTTGATCATTTTGTTCTTTTTCTAGGCTCTTCTGTTTCTTCAAATTACATCTGTTGCTTTCTGCTATCCCTTTTCTACTGGCCAGACAGAGAGTCTTGAATAGAGGTGTGTAAGATCAGAGCTGGATTAAAACAAGAAATTTAAATCAGTCTTTTCTGAGGACATCAAAAAAGAAATAGAAACATTAAAACAAAAAGCAAAGTTAACAGCAGGATCAGTCCTGGAAAATTTGAGAACTACTGGAAATGAAGTGTAAGTAAACAAATGAGTTAAGTCTGATCAATAAGATAGTGACAAAAAGAAATAAAATGCAGCTGTTTTACCCTTTCTTTGCCTTACCTGGCAATTACTAATCATTCCCCCATTTAAGAAATTGCTTTAAACCACTTTAAGAAGCATCTCTGTGATTTGTTTTCCTAAAACTTTTATGGTCCCTGAACTTGGTGTCAGAGAATCATACCTGAAGTACCAAGTTATACCCAAGTATCTTTGCTAAAACCAGGATTCCTGATCCATAAGAACTGTTCCACAGATAAGCAAAATAAAGCAAAACCATTTTTTTTCCCTAGCTTTGGAAACAACTTGTCAAGAAAAAACCCTCCCAAACACAGATGTTTTAGGGAGTAGCGTGGGCCTAACAGCTGAGATCTAGCGCTATGCTGACAACTGCACTTGCCACTCCCACCTTATTTTGGGCAGGTTTTGATGAATCATAGTTGTAACATGTGATTTGAGATCACTTCTTATGCATTAGCGTGTCTAAATTGTGACCATGCTGATTATTTTTGAACATAAAAAATGTTTAACCCTATCTGCTATTCTGCAGCTGAAAAGTGGTGTTTGCAGAGGCTCAGCTAATGAGACTTGCCCTCACTGAGCCATCTGGATTGTGCCAAAGAAGCATTAAAAGATTTAAATCTATTAATGCTAGATGTCCCATTTACTTCTGTCACCAAAATACAAATAATGATGCCCAGCAGCCATTCTATAATCTTCCAAGGTTTTGCATATCATCAGGATCCTTATTAGGATTTTTTTTAATCCACTGTTTATAGCATCTTTAAGTCAAAACCAAAACAAACAACAAGAGAGAAAAAAAATCTAGATTTGATTTGGCAATTCCAGATTGCACGTTATTACCTTTAGGGCTAAGATTTGTAACATTCTGTTGTATTAGAGATGCACAGACTTTGGAATTATCTTTAAGGAAGGTTTTCAGATTACTGAGATTTGGTCTAATGGATTCAACATCCTGTAGGATTCAGCATTCGTTAAAGTGCAAGAATTTCCAAGTCTGGCTGCTTGCTACTACACACTTCACAAACCTTAGACATGTTACTTGGGAGCTTGAGCCTAGTTTTGGTAAGATAGGGACTGATTGCTTCAGTTGTATACCTTGAACTTATGACAAAAAAAATCATATTTTCTTGCTTATTTAGAGGACTAGGTATGGTGGGGTGTTTTTTTTTTCTCTTCAAATATGCATTAAAATACATGTTTTAAAATCTCTTGCTACAAAATACTCGAGGGTTATTCAGTGTGGTTTGCACGAGAGCTTCAGATGAGATGGAAAAAGCCAGAGCTTTGGCCAGCTCCATGTGAGTCGTTTCCTTCCTCCTCCTCACTGACTTCTGCAAACTCCAGTTCTCCTTAATCCCCATCTCTCGCCCCTCCTTGACAAACAACCTTGTGATGTCAGTGTTTCACCCCAAATGTCATCCTTATTTTCAGGGAACGTCAATTACATAATCCTAGCAACAGTAGCTACAGCTGTTCCCTGCTTTTAGCTCTAGATTTAGTGGAATGGGCACTAGGAAGTTACCCTCAGCCTTGCTAGCAACAATTACCCGTAACAGTAAAGTCCTTAATTGCATGTGTAATTGAGAGAATGGCTCCTAACTTGACTTTTTCTCCTCTTGCCACCCCAAGTATGAAGGAGGAGGAAGTCAGCTGAGACCCTTGGGGACAAGGAAATATGTAAGACTATATATAATATAATATATATGTTTATTATTATTATATATCATAATAAGAAGAATATTGAGTTTTCTTTTGGTCCTGCTTACAAAAAGGAGGCTTGTTACAATATTTGGAGTATTTTCTTTGGAAACACAACACCTCAGTGACGCGCTGTCGGGAGTTATGGAGACAATAACGCCATGGGGACAAAATTCCTCAAAGAATTTGGCATCGTGTCCCAGTTAACGGCGGGGGGCAGGCGCTTCCCGCCCGGCCTCGGGAACCCCCGGAACCTCTGCCTACCGTCCCGCCTCGCCACCCGGAGCCTTCGCAGCGGCGCACACCCGCTCCTC